CACAGTGAAAATCAAACCCCGCAGAGGGAGGTGCTGTGCTTCTCTTTCCCTCCTCTTTTATGTGAGAATGAAAACTACAACGAGAGAGCAGTCAAAGAGACGGTTTGATCTTTCCCTGTCAGATATTCATCTCATCAACTCATCCAAACTGCTGACAGAGAAACTGAGAGACAAAGTATCATGAAAAGACTCTCTGGAGTGAATAAAGACTCCCCTCGTTCTGTATTTATCTCAGAGAGTTTTAGGCAACGAAACAAAAGGCAGAATTAAAATGTAAGAGTGTGATTTCTACAGTTATCTAGATAAATCATGTATTCTTCAGACACATTAGAGCTAAGCTGATGGCTCAGTGAGACTATGGGTGGTGCCATGAGCTTAAAAGGTGCTTTTATTACTGGGGTAAATCCCTGACAGTAAACACTTCAAGGAAAAGCAGCTGTTTTCGTGACTCTTAAGTGTTTGAAAACATAAAAAATGTCTCAAACATCCAATAGGAGAAATGTAAAAGTTTACTTTAGGTTAAAGCTCTGGTTTAATGTGTGCATAAAGTTAAAACCACTGTTAATTTTTGGATTAATGCTTTATTGGAGTCTGTGAGTGAAATCAACATTCAACATTTAGTGAAGTAGCTATTCTTAATCTGTAAAGGGTTACTTTTATACTTCATCATTTTAAAAGTCTCATTATTCTTATGGAAGTTTAAACTTGTGGATAATACCATGGTACCTGACTTCTTTCTGTTTTTGTGGTATCGCCCCCAGAACTTGGTCAGAGGATCTGCCTTCTCTGCCCAAAATCCGGCTGAGTGCTCTGCAGCAGCAGTTTCATTTGGTGGTGTGATTCTGCTCTGAGAGCTCTTCGCCCATCCACACGTTTGCATGAATACAAAAGTCTGAGGGCCGGGAGAACAGACCCCCTCTCCCTGTCATATTGGGAAGGCGGAGCGGCAGCAAAGACCCTCAGGGTAACAGAACAGAGCAGTCACAGAGACCACACAAATGCAGGCACTAGGCTGGTTGCAAACTGGTTTTTGCACAGGATGCAGGTTGAGTATAGGTAGGCGGAGCCTATCATTGTGGCCTGCCTGAACTAACCTAGTGCTTTAAAATGCACATTAGTCACATCGCACCTGTTCCACCCAAGGACTGAAACCAGCCCAGGTGCAATTATCTGCAGTTTCTTGAATGTCCTCTAGAGGTCAGCAGGAGAAACTCTATTATAAAGTCCACTTATCATGGATTTCAACAACTGAACATAGTGCTCGTTTAGGTGGGACACGAAAGCCAAGTAAACTGTACATCAGCTGATCCTCATGCCAGCTCATATTAGCTGACACTTGGACTCCGAATCTTCCTCCCATCTGACTGGTAAACATCAGAGTGGGCGCTCTATCTAAACTACTTCAGCTTGCCACCCCTTCTCTTGTTTCTTTGCCTGTTCATACATATTGCCACTATTTGGGATCTTTGCTGCTGCTCTCCCTGCCTTGGCTTTTCATACATACACATGAATCGGGGGGGGGGGGGGGGGTTGTTCTTTCTCCATTGCAGACTTGCTATGTCCACTTAAAAATCACCATTGGTGGAAGCTTTTGTCTGGATGCTGTGCAGCTGAGAACACAAGTGAAATGTGTTCTCTCATGGGCGATTCACATTTCTTTTGAAAAGTCCTTGTGAGAGGCAGGTCAAACGTCAAAAGTACACCCATATTCATGATGTCATCTGGTCTGATGGAATTATCGGCTATCTTTGTTTAAAGGGACAGTCCGGCATAAATGTAGGTTATGGTCAAACACACCATAACACCGAGCTAGACAGATGAATGTTGCTAACTGCTTGCTTCTCTAGTTATACCAACTTTAGTAATGACTGCAGGATAGCAATACACAGCAGTCTATGTCTCCACACGCAAACCTCAACCAAAATGCCAGTCTATAGCCACAAATAGTGCTCAGAACAGCACCTAACTTCATCAATAGTACATATGGGGTCCCAGCTATAGCACTAGCCACAAAACATCTTTTTAGCTTTGCCTGGTTTCTTTAGCAAAGAGACTAAACACAACTCATCCTCTCTCCTCCAGCAGCTGCTTGTATGTTGGGGAGCCCAACCTATATTCAATAGAATACACTATAAAGATATTTAATGTTCAAACACATTAACTTTGTTTTTTTGGAAATGATAATTAACTCAGAATTTCATGGCAGCAACACATGACAAAGAAGTGGGGAAAAGTGGCAAAAGATACTGAGAAATTTGAGTAATGCTCATTAAACACCTATTTGGAACAGGTGAGAAGGCTATTTGGGAACAGGTGGGTGCCATGATTGGGTATAAAAGCAGCTTCCCCAAAAATTCTCAGTCATTCACAAGCAAGGATATGGCAAGGCTCACCACTTGGTGAACAACTGCATGAGCAAATAGTCAAACAGTTTAAGAACAACGTTTCTCAAAGTAAAATTGCAAGGAATTTAGGGATTTCAATATCTACGGTCCATAATATCGTCAAAGGGTTCAGAGAATCTGGAGAAATCACTGCACGTATGCGACACAGCCAGAAACCAACATTGAATGCCCGTGACCTTCGATCCCTCAGGCAGCACTGTAGCAAAACCGACATCAATGTGTAAATGATATCACCACATGGGCTCAGGACCACTTTAGAAAACCACTGTCAGTAAATACAGTTCGGTGCCACATCTGTAAGAGCAAGTTAAAACTCTACTATGCAAAATGAAAGCCATTTATTAACAACATCCAGAAACTTCTCTGGGCCCAAGCTCATCTGAGGCCCGAGATGGACTGATGCAAAGTGGAAAAGTGTTCTGTGGTCTGACGAGTCCACATTTCAAATTGTTTTTGGAAATAGCGGACGTCGTGTCCTCCAGGCCAAAGAGGAAAAGAACCATCCGGACTGTTATCAACGCAAAGTTCAAAAGCCAGCATCTATGATGATATAGGGATGCATTAGTGCCCAAGGCATTGGTAACTTACACGTCTGTGAAGGCAACATTAATGCTGAAAGGTACATACAGGTTTTGGAGCAACATATGCTGCCATCCAAGCAACGTCTTTTTCATGGATGCCCCTGCTTATTTCAGCAAGACAATGCCAAGCCACATTCTGCACGTGTTACAACAGCGTGGCTCCGTAGTAAAAGAGTGCGGGTACTCGACTGCCGTGCCTGCAGTCCAGACCTGTCTCCCACTGAAAATGTGTGGTGCATTATAAAGCGTAAAATACAACAACGAAGACCCTGGACTGTTAAACAACTGAAGCTGTACATCAAGCAAGAATGGGAAAGAATTACGCCTTTAAAACTTCAACAATTAGTCTCCACAGTTCCCAAACATTTATTGAGTGTTGTTAAAAGGAAAGGTGATGTAACACAGTGGTAAACATGCCCCTGTCCCAACTACTTTGGCACATGTTGCAGCCATGAAATTCTGAGTTAATTATTATTTGCAAAAAAATGAAAATAAAGTTTATGAGTTTGAACATTAAGTATCTTGTCTTTGTAGTGTATTCAGTTGAATATATGTTGAAAAGGATTTGCAAATCATTGTATTCTGTTTTTATATATGTTTATCACAATTTCCCAACTTTAATGGAATAGGGTTTTGTAATTTAAAAGAGAGCAAGTCTCTTTTGCAAATTTAAAATATTTATAAACTTCACGGCTTACTTTGTTTTAATGTTGTTTACAAGGTGAATAAAGTGAATTAAAAAAAACTGATATATAAAAATCATTTTATTTTGACACAACAATCATTTTCATCATTGATTTCCTGATAAAAATGATAAACATGTGATTGTTTATTTCTGTTATTCAGTGGATTCTGAACACTTTCGTGATTAATTGGGTATAATTTTGTCAAAAATGCAGTATAATCACAATTTCTTCTGAGATTGTTTCATCTCTGCGACTTTGTAAAGTGGATCAAGAGCCTAACAAGGTTACACTTTTGTTTGTGACACTTTTTATTTTTCTTCAAACTGTTTGAAGGGATTGACTGTTTAATGTTTTTTCTAAAATATGTATAATACTTTAAATTGTATCTATGAGTGGTAAAATTAGATGCATGGGTTCAAAGGTGTTAATTTAAAGGTTACAATTACAAGTTAGACTGACCTGGCAATATTTTATTTATGTGTCTCCAATTCAGCCCACTTAGATTTAGACTGGACACCAAGTCTTTTACATTTCAAGTAACTTTCTTTAGTGTAGTGACACTGATATGAAGGAGGATATGAATCTTCAAGCTGAGAAGGTGTAAAGATTTGGGTGAAAGAGCTACTGAATTTTTCTTGAAAAAAAAATTATAGACAGTTGCCAGTGCTTTTTCATCAGTGGATTTTCTTTTAAAAGTTTCTCTAACAAATAAATTCACCTCGAGTCTATATCAGACGTGTTTTAATCACATTTATTATTTTATTTATCTATGGCTTCCAAGACCAGTGCACTGAATTTTACATTTTTTATTATTAATAAGTCACAAATATGAACTCTGGAGTTCTTCATTAAAACAAACAGGGCAAACCGGGACCTGATGCCAGACCTGACCTGGTCTGGCATGCCTTGGAGTCACCTTGGACTCGTGCTCAGGGGTGCAGAGCTTGTGGCTCTCCTCTGTGGATTGCTTCCCCGCAGAGTGAACGGATTACACCACAGCTGAATGTGAGAGGCTACCTCTGCGCACACCGCACTGGTCCATTTTCTAATTCTTCAACACGAGCGGAGAGGGTGAGAAATCTACAGTAAGAGCATGAGTCAGTTTTTTTTTTTTTTTTTCCCGAGGCGAGAGACAGGGGCAGGTTTTTCCTCCGGTGTGTGACAGCAGCCTGTTAGCGGCACTGCAGATGGACTAAAGCAGAGTCAGCTCCGGCAGCAGCAGCCTCCCTCCCTCTGCCACATCCCCCACCACTCTCTCTCTCTCTCTCTCTCTCTCACACACACACACACACACACACACACACACACACACACACACACACACACACACACACACACACACACAGCATGGATGCAGCTCTCACATCCTTCCGTCGCTACATGTAACCCTGAGCGGCTGCGTTAAGACGCGACCTGACGACAGAAACGCTCCGTGTTCCCCCCGCTCCTCTCTCCGCTGAGGTCGTTCCTTTTTCCGGCTGAAGATCGGAGGATGAAGCGGCTCTTTGTCAGATCGGTGCGGGATGAAGCCATGAACCCCTGGCTGCTCTTCGCTCTTCTCGGGCTCTGGTAGGTGTGTGTGGATCTGTCTCCATGATGAATGCAGGTGGAGGCTTTTTTTTTTCAGGGTGAGCGGCTGCAGATGTTGCTCTGGTGTCTTTGCTGCAGGATGCTTTTTACCTGAGATCTCTGAACAGAGGGTTATTGTGGGAGCTAAGGCCTGAGAGCAAATTTGATCTCTTGTCTCTTAAGAATCTCTGGAAATGTGCCTTTTAGCAATCTGTGCGTCTTAATGTGCGCCCGGGTCTGATTTGTCTTAGTAATACAGCTGTTTACTGTCACATGGTTATTGACAGAGCAATGATGGATGAATCTGGTCTTTGGGGACACGGGTCTTCTTTACTTTAACCAAAGGAAACCTAAGTCAGTCGGTCACTGAGGTGTAAATAGAGTCCTCTGAGACAGGCCTTTCATTCATTCATGCTGAAATCAGTGGAAATGGTGAAGTGATGTGCTGTGGAGACACTGCCTTCTTTATCCAACAGTGTGATATCTGCTAATTTTTCCTTTTATTGAGGGGTCTCAAAGTCTTGATTTGAAAGCATGGTTGATGCTATTTTCTGACTTCTTTGGCTTATTGTTGACATCATCTGAAGTAACACGGAGATCGGGAAAATCAGGACAGTGACATCCAGGTAAGCTATTTGGGGAATAAAGTCACTTGCTCAGCTCTTTATTGTAATTTCTGCTGAACTTTTGTACAAAAAATAGGCACATTTAAATTACTTCTGATATAACATTGAGACCACATTGCAATAGGGCACAACAGCAAAAGCATTCTCTCCTCCGAGGCCCCGGCACATTTTCAGTAAGAAAGAGAGAACTTTTGTATACTTTGGTTGTTCGTTTACAGAGACAGAGGTTTTAGGCTGAGGTGAATCAAACCTTTGGAAACAGGTTGCTGCTGACAGGGAATTTCAGCTTTAACTTTGAAACCTCCACCTCTAAACAGGCTGCGATACAGGCCTCCATAACCAAGCACCACCACCACATGTGCACAACAGAGCAGCAACTTCCTCTCTGAAGAAAGGAAGCCAATGCTGAAATGCTAAAGACTGCAGCTCCCAGCGTGTCCACTAGAGGCTGTCTTCAGAACCAGGAACAACACATACACCGAGCCAAAGATTACACTTTTATGTCTTACTGAACTCAAGAGTATATTTCACCCATGACACACACTAGAGGATGACATTTTTCGGGAATTCCCGTGGGTCACGTGATTCCCACGGGATGGGAGTCATTTTTTAATTAATCCCATGATCGGGACGGGGCGGGGGAAAAAAGCAACGGGACCGGGCAGGAGCGGGAACAACATTAATAGGTTATCATTTTCAGCCGTGTTAAACAATCAGATGAACAGATGCGTCCATTTTTGTAGTCATCTCTCAGTGAGAGCCAACACTCTTGACCGCGCTAGTAACACAAAAGAACTACAACAGTGGTTTGACTTCTTGTCACCACCTGAAGTGAAAAGCGACTCGGAGCAACACACATTATGGCTGTGTCTCATTCCAGAGACCGCAGAAGGCAGCTGAACGCACTGCAGTTATGTGGACTTGAGTACCCTGAGTGAGATGGTCTGGTTTTTGTGAAAGGGGATGGTCTACCCTTTGGAGGACTTCCTGGTTGAGTCGCCAAATGTCCCCGCCCTCAGGCTCGCGTCACGACTGACTTGAAGAAAAGCCGCGGAGCGCAGCAGTTATTTTTTAATTGTGCGACCTTGCACAGACACAAAACAATAGATAAATACAAGCACAGATCATTCCCACAAAATTCATTCAGTGATTGCATGTTTTGTATGAAGGAGTATGAGGGCCCTATTGAGAATTTTTTTTAAAGACTTCGAGATCAAAGTCGTGAATTTACAAGAATAAAGTCATGAATTTATGAGAATAAAGTCATAAGGTTACCTGTTTTTTCAGAGGAGAGTTGTTAAAATTAGGGCCATGAAGCATTTGAAGGAACTGTGCTTCAGTATAGGTCTCACAAACAAGGAGATACTTCATCCTTTGGCTCATCGGCATTACATTGTCACAAGTATAAAGACTTAAAAAAGAATATATGAGACATACGTCTTTTCCACGGGGAAAAAGAAACAGGTGTACTTGGAGGAAATCACTGCTTTTGTGGAGGCAGAAATGGATATGCTGCGGATAAATCCGTCAATGCAGCCGTAAATATCCGTGAATGGCATTGAGCTTTCGTTCATGATATGAATCCATATGCCATAATAAGGCGTTGGTGTCTCTGCAGGTGTAGGTTACCGCCGGTGTCAGAGAGGTGGTGATCGTCGGAGTTTGACTCCCTCTGGATCACAAATGCTGATCATCAGTTTGATTGTTTCTTAAAAAACCACAAAAACTCTCTGAATGACCTGCTGATATATCCACTGATAACCCTGCAGTGGACTAGCTCCACCCATTTCTCCCTCCACAAAAGCAGCTTTATGACTTTATTTACTTTATGACTTTATTCTCCTAAGTTTACAACTTTAATCTCTAAGTCTTAAAAAAAAAAAAAAAAAACTCAACATGTCAATGATACTCTGCTGTAGTTTTGTCAGCTTTCCTATTTCTAATGTGTTTGATTGTGGTAGCAGAGTGGATCAGTTCTTTTCTAAGGAGTATAATGTTTGGTTTGCAGCTTTTCGTGAGTTAGAGCATGCGCTCATGGAGCCTGAGCTGACTGTCTGCTGTTTTTGGATTTCTTTTATTTTCTTTGAAGACGCGCTGCGTCTCCAAGCGAGTCAGAGTCCAGCCTCTCTTTGATTTAATTATTTAACATAGAATGTAGCAGAAGTCACTGTCAGCTCAGCTGCACTGCACTGGTGTCACACTCAAATCGGTCCATGTGGGACCACATACCAAACATAACAATCCTATTGTTACAGCCTTTTTCTTTTTTGTTTTTTTTGAAGTGTAAACGTAAACTCTTACTCATAGGAAAAGTGCAATAATATCACAACATTAGAAATATAAACTTGTAAAATGTAAACAGTACTGAGAATAAACTCTTCTGAGTAATAACGTGAAAAATAACAAATAGCAATTTATCTCACCACAATATTACTCAAAGGCAAATTACTTGTAGGTTTTCCAAAATACAAAATTCACTGAATCTGTCAGGTGCAATAAGTCGTGTCATAACGTTCATTGTCATTTTCTTTTCTTTTTTTTTTTTCTTTAAATCCCAGAGGACCGAAGCCCTCAGTTCCAATCAATCCCCCCCAAAGGCCATGTGCCCCCTCAAAGGCCATGTGTCACATAAGTGACCAAGATCAGTGTGCATAGTCCTGCAAGTACTTTGGATGAAGTCTTGTGCTTGAACTCCCACAGTTGACTGAAACGGCGGAACTCTTGGGCCGTATACTGTGGGCCATTGTCTGAAAACAGATGATACGGCACACCATGCCTAGAAAAGTGAGCCTTCAGCTTCCTTATTACTGTACTTGACTTTGTATCAGGTAGGTAGTCATCTTCCCAAAAGTTAGAGTAATAGTCAGCTGTGATGAGGTAGTTCTTATTGTCAAAGGTAAACAAATCTGTACCAATCTTGGCCCATGGTCTACCTTCAACCTCATGTGGATGTGAGGTCTCTTTTTGTTGTTTTGTGTCAACTGATCCGCATATGTCACATTTAGATATGAATGTCTTTATCTGTTCATTCATTCCAGGCCAGTAGACACATTCCCTCGCACGCCTGAGGCATGCCTCCACCCCCAGGTGAGAGGAGTGAATCCGGTCGGTGATGTCCCTTTGTAGGGAGTATGGGATGACAGCTCTCTCCCATCTGAAGATGATGTCATCCTGTACACTCAATTCCTCCTGGAATGAGTAGTAGTGCATAATGTCCCTCGGAGTGTCTTTCTTATGTTTAGGCCATCCCTTCTGAATGGTGTCACTCAGTGTCTGTAGCGTTTTGTCCGTTTGTGTAGCAGAGCGGATTGTGCTCATTCTCTCCTCAGAGATAGGCAAGTAGGCCACCATGTTGACCGTCTCGATCTCCGCTTCCACTGTACCTTTAGATGAGCACTCTGGTAAGTATGCTCTGCTCAGTGTATCCGCAAGCAACATGTCATGGCCTGGGACATAAATAACATCCAAATCATATCTCTGAAGCCTGAGCAGCATACGTTGGAGTCTCTTTGGTGCACTTAACAGTGGCTTCCTGACAATGTTCTCCAACGGCTTATGGTCATTCTGTACTGTCACTTTCTGGCCATAAGTGTATTGATGGAATTTTTCCATGCCATAGACAATAGCTAAGCATTCTTTTTCGATTTGGGCATAGCCCCTTTCAGTTGGTGTCAGTGCTCTGCTCCCGAATGCTACAGGTTTTCCTTCTTGTTTCAGTGCTGCTCCTAGACCTGTTTCTGAAGCATCACGCGGCAATGTCAGTTCCTCTTGATGGTTATAGTACTTTAGTACTGGTGCTTTGGCTATATTATCCTTGAGCCTGCTGAATGCTCTGTCATGCATTTCTGTGCATTCCCACATATATAGCTGTCTCAGTATCTCACAGTCATGTGAGAGGTGTTTGAAGAATTTAGAGAGATAATTCACCATGCCTATCAGTCGCTGTACACCCTTCACATCAGTTGGTCTCGGTATGTCTCTCACTGCCCTGATCTTCTTGGGGTCAATTTTCAGTTTATCTACGGTCAGCAGGTGTCCGATGTATGGCACCTCCTGCTGCCTCAACCTGAACTTTTCTGCATTCAGTTTGACATTCTTTTCTCTGCATCTGCTTTGAAACTGTCTCAATTTCTCATCATGGTCCTTGTAGGCCATCTCTTGTGTATCACCTTCTCCTGTGATCAATACGTCATCTGCGATTAGATAGATGCCTAGCAGACCCTCCAGCGCTTGAGTCAGCATCCGCTGGAAAATCTCCGGTGCAGGGCTGATTCCCATAGGCATCTTGAGCTACCTAAATCTGCCAAACGGTGTAGCAAAGGTAGTTAGATAGCTCGACTCCTCCTCTAATTTCACATGCCAAAATCCGTGTTTGACATCACAGACTGTGAAGACCTTCGCTCCACCCTCTTGTTGATCTCGATCCTGTACTCTCCTTCCAAGCAGCCATCACCTGTGGACACATCACTGTACTCCTTCTTTATTTGTTGCATGTTTAGACCACTCTGGACTGGCTTCTCTTCTGTTACAATACTGTCAATCGCCAGTATATTCTCATACTGTACTTTAATGAGTTTCATGGCTTCGCTTGCCTTTTTTCCCAACAGTGGCAATCTACAGTCCTCATTCACCACCTCAAACTCCAGGCGGTACAGTTTTTGGTTCCTCGGGTTTCTCACCTTCACCTTGCATTTTCCAAGTGAATGCAGTACTCTCCAGCTTAGTATCAGGACTCAGGAGATTAACTGGAATGACATTACAGCTGGCATCACAGTCTATCTGAAACTTCACCAGCTCCTTGCTGATGAGCATCCTGGTGAAAAGCTGGCTGTTCTTTGTTTTGTCATCACTGGCATCTCTACGAGTCACTGTGAGTATGTCCTCATACTCCTCACCGACCTGTTCAGTCACATTGTGCACTCGTTTTCCTTTGTCTTTATCCTGCTTCGTTTTAGATTTGACAGCAAAGTGATTTTCTTTACCACACTTTTTGCAGCATTTCCCAAAGGCTGGACACTTGTTCTTGTCCCTTTCATGGTTATTTCCACAGAATTTGCATGAAACTGTGTTGTTTTTATCCTGCCATGCTGTCCGTTTCATCATGTGCACTTCTTCCACTGTATGACCTCCTGCAAGGGTTCTACTATTCTCACGTGACAGTTCTGTAGCTCTGCACAACTGTAGGCAATTATCCAATGTCAGGTTGTCCTCCCTGAGCAATCTCTCTCCTAGTCCAGAATCAGTAATGCCACATACAATTCTATCACGTATGAGGGAGTCTTATTTGTCCAAAGTTGCATGTGCTAGACAACATTCTCAGATCAGTGACATGTGTATCAATGTTTTCATCCTGTCCCTGATTTCTCATGAAAAAGCGATATCTCTCAACTGTTTCATTTACAGTCCTCCTGGCAGCAGTCACATCACTCATTAGAGTTTCACACAGTTCTCTACCTTTCTCTCCAATCAGATAGTAGAACAATTTCACTTTTGTGGTTTCTTCTGCCTCTGGTATAGAAAGCTCCAAATAAAGTGTAAACTCCTCTTTCCATGATTTCCATGACTTTGCAAGATTGCCAGAGTCAAAACATAATGTTGACGGGGGTTTCAGACCATCCATTGCCGACTGACGTGACGTGCATCTTCTACACCACACTACTTGTTATTGTTAGCAACAGGCTAGCTGATTAGCTGCACAGCAAAAGTTCGTTTTTTCACTTTTCTCTTACTTTCAATTTTTTTCTGCTGCCACCATGAATCATTCTTGCCCTCCATGCATAGAATGGACGATTAAAGCAATTGTAGCTGCTTACACTTTTATTTAATTATTTAACATAGAATGTAGCAGAAGTCACTGTCAGCTCAGCTGCACTGCACTGGTGTCGCACTCAAATAGGTCTGTGTGGGACCACATACCAAACATAACAATCCTATTGTTACAGGAGCGGGATGGGAGTGGGAGTCATTCTACAGGAGTAGGACAGGACAGGATAAATTTTTTACTCTGGTCCGGGATTGGCAAGGGACGGGATTTTTTCTCTGGGGGTGGGACGGGACAGGATGAAATTCCGCTCCCATGTCATGCTCTAACACACACTACACAGGAGTGATTTATTTTGTAATACATTCACCAGAAGTTATGGGGTTAGAAGATTGGCAAATCAGAGGCACGGCTCAGTTGACTGACAGGCAGGGAAACTGTAGCCATTTGTGCGGCGGCTAAAGGCCCACCTCTAGGAGGTTGACTGGAACCACTAATGGGAATCAAAACCCTACTTCACCAACAAATGGACACCAACACTGATGCTACAACTCTTTATTATACAAAATGCATTTAGTCCTCACACAACAGTCATACTCTCCTCAACAGTGACGTAGCCACAGTGATGGTTTAAAAAGGTTGTGTAATAAAGTGATTTGTAATGCACAACAACTGGACTAAACCCTGGTCAGGGCTGGATCGATCCATCTTTATGTATATAGTACCAAATCACAACAAATGTTATGCCAAGATGCTTAAAAAAGCTGGTCTGGACCAGAATTTATTTAGTAAGACCCAGTGTAAGGACGAGGTCAGAATGAGCCCCCCATCCTGTAAAATCAGACCAACTCCTATCCCATCTTTAATCAAATGAGTGAAACACTTTACAGCATTTAGAGAGTTAGTGTGGAGAGAAAGAACTTCCTTTAACAGGCAGAAACCTCGAGCAGAACCAGACTGATGTTAGACGGTCATCTGCTGAGACTGAGCTGGGTTTAGAGAGGAAAGAGAGGGTGAAAGAGAGAGATGGACAGAGTAGAGAGGGAGATGAAAAGAGAAATAGATCGACATAGAAGAGACTGGTAGAGGGGGATGGAGAGAGAGAGAGATGGGGAGAGGTGAAGGAGTCCAAGGTGCTCCATGTGGCAGTACCACCTGCAGTCTGGACCTATAGCAGTATAACTTAAAGCTGGTCCGGTTTGTTAGGCTTATCAAAGCGCCTCAACCCCTCCCTTTGTTAAAGCCCCGCCCTCTCCTTGTCGTCAAACAAGTGTGGTAGAAGTCTTACTTTGCTTCTGGGCACATTTAGTTGAAATGGTGCTCTTATATTTGATGTTGATTATTAACAGCAGAGCTGGGATTTACATGTTTGTTAAACACATCCTCCTGATTAAATATGGGTTTTTGTACATAACTCGTTGAGCTTACTGGACTCCATCAAGACAAAATAAAAGAGGTTGACTGAAGAAAACACAGTCCAAGCAGGGAAACAGGAGAGAAATTAAACTGAAGGTCTCAGAGATTCAGTTAGAAAGTTGACTGTGCTGAGTTTTGAACACAAAGAAGTTCATAAAATCATCTTTCGTGGCTCTCAAGTACAGACAGGAGTTCAATCTCTGCATCACAAGCTGTTTTTATTGAAGAGGGACTCATAGTGAGTGTGAAAATGTTTATATTTTAAAATGCAACAGTATGAGACTGTCACCACAAAAAGCCAAAACATAAAAAAACACTGTGATACCTGAAGAAATCTGATATGGTTAAAAGTGCAATAAATGATCAGCAGCCGTCCCAGACTTCTCCCTCTGGAGATCTCTCCACTTTTTATCTGCTGATCAGCAGTTTCAGCTCTGGCCTTGTTGGTTTTAGTGCACAGCAGAGGACAGTCTCAGCAGAAGAACTTGCTGAGACAGACTGAACTGATGCAATATCAGGGACTCGTCTTTAAAAAAAAAAAAAAAAAAAAAAAGACTTTCAGGGCTCCAGTAGGGAGATTCTGTAAAACTCTGCCCCCCAGCTTTCGATGTGAGACTCTAAACTTAAGCTGAACTAGAGCTGAAACAGCTACGGCTCATTGCTGCAGGCAGCATCCCCAGAGTGTTACAGTAAGCTGAAAATGGACCTCACATGAAAAGTCTGACTGTGATGAACTGAGTGATGAAACTCGCAACATCTAACATGAAATACTGGCAGTTTTCCTGCGTTACATCATCCTGATTCACGCAGTCCCAGTAAACGCTGATTTCTTGTACTTACACCTCTCTCTGTTGGCACATTTGGTCTTGATAGACGTTTTCTTTTGGCTTCAGAGTGCATCAAGATTTCTGAGTTTCGAAAACTCCAGCACTTAATCACCTCCTCATTTAAATGCACACAGTAACATATGTGATTTCCCCTTTCTAAGACGTGGTTTACACACAACTAACTCTGCTAAAGGTGAGATTTCCAGTTTAAGTTAGAAATATATTATGGGATGGATAAAATCAAAGTAGCAACTTTTTATGTTGAAATAAAATTAAGTTACTGCCTATAAAGAGTACCAAACTACAGTTCCTGAAGTGTCCACTACCAGCAGGCCTGTTCCCATCAGAGCTCTTATTAAAACACCTGTTTTACAACCCCATTCTGTTTATTCCTGAAAACTGCACTGGGGTAAATTCCACCAATCATTTATTCTGATAGAAATGAGGAAAAGAGTTTGGCAGAATAAAAGATAAGACGTCAGAATAAAAAGAAAAATATAAAATTTCAAAGTGGGCAGATAACAGACCTATTGTTACATATTTGAGATGTTGTGAAGCAGTGAGTTGGACCTCACACCTTCATGCACGCATGTTTGGGTGTGGTAGATGTGAGGCTTGGGGTCAGCAAAGTTGCATAAGCTCAGAGAAGGACATCTCGCAGCGTGAATGTGCTGGAGGGGCTAAATTTCAGTAAAAAAAGGTGTGACTTACTGCATCATACAGACCACGCCCCCAAATATCTGGGGTGGGAACTTGGCCCCTAAATTTAGCCTCAGCAGCAGCCTTGCAGCATTGACATGAAGGGGCCATCTTAGCTTTGAGGAAAAATTCTCCTGGGTCCATCACCACCTTCCTGCAGCTGTTAAGAAACTAAGATTATACAGATAACTGCAGTTTTTTTCCTAATTCATGTGCAGCAGACTCAAATCAGCTCTGTGACATCTTGTGCAACATCCTTTCTGTTTTCCAGGTGATGGTGTATATAACCCTAGTTGGTTTCTGCAGCCTTGGTTGAGATCATGTCTTTTGTGTCAGAAGCCTGGGCTGCACGCCAAGTCCTCAGGTCTCTTTACAGTATCAGGACCATGTTCATTAACAAGGAGAAAGCAGTGAAACACCTTGGCACAGACAGACGGAGTCCAGCCATGTGGAACAGACCCCCTGTAATACACAGAGCGAGCAGGACAGCGGGAACCACAACTAAAACTGCTGCAGCTGAGTTTCACTTCGAGAATACCTTTATTTTATCAGATTCACTGAGCTCCCGCTAAACCTGCAGGGTGTCTGTGAGTCTCTTAGACCTGGATCTGAGATAGTCCCCTACCTTTACTGAGACACATTGTTTTAACCGCACAGTAGAGACTGCAGGTGATTGAAAAGCAGCTTTTTTCAAATCTGTTCCAGTGATCACAGAGAAAATAGCTCTTTGTTTGCAGAGACATCTGATTTTGTGTTGTGTTGTTTGCTGACATAAGCACAAAACAAATGTGTGCTTATGAAGCAAAATCTGCTTGATGTCCTTGGAGAGTCCTACAGCTGAGGGTCCAAGTTCATAGTACGTTTCACTGTGAGTACACACCATGTTTGCTGCAAAGCGTTAAATGCCAACGAAAACATCAAATGGGGCTATTAAATCAATTATTACCTCAGAAACAGATTACAGGCTTCATAGAAGTCTCACCATATCCAGAAAAGCTCCCAGATACCAGAAAAAAACAACAACCCAGCTTCAGTCTGTTCATTCAGACAAGCAAACACATTAACAATCAGTCTTTAAACATACTTTACATAACACATAATTACACATTATCTGATTATTTTGGATGACATCTTCAAACCAACAGCAATCATTTACTCTATTTGGAGGAATTTTGCAGACTGTTAGTGATATTTTGCATCCATCAAAAAAGTGTACAAAAATGTATTTGTCAAAGTCTTGTGTTGCTATCGTTAATGGTATATTGGATGTTGTTGATGATGTTAACAAAGTTAATGTATGTAGGATTACCAGTCCTCATACATCAACTTCAAACTGAGTCAATCAAGTAAAAACACTAAAATGACTACAACAAGTATTGAGACCGTTGGACAGTCAACAGGCTTGAAAAGATAACAAGAACTTCCATAAATTCCAAAACAGCTTTATAAAACTCATATAGTTTGCCAGATTTTTAAAGCACCGATTTGTATCTGGGTTCCTCTGAAAAATCCCCAAACCGAATACTGTACATGAGCACCAATTCCATCAATTCTGTTTGGCTAATCCCTCATTGGGTTTAGGTACCAGTGCAGATGCTTTTTTTCCACCTAAACATGAGTTGGCATGAGAAGTCATCACATGCGATTATGTGGTATAATAACCTCAATGACAGTCTGTCCTGCTCGTTTTAACCGTGTTCAATGGAACTGAACATATGTGTGTGTGTGTGTGTGTGTGTGTGTTTATATATATATATATATATATATATATATATATATATATACAGTACAGGCCAAAAGTTTGGACACACCTTCTCATTCAATGCATTTTCTTTGTTTTCATTACTATTTAAATAGTAGATTCTCAAAACTATGAATGAACACATGTGGAATCATGTGCTTAAGAAAAAAGTGTGAAATAACTGAAAACATGTTTTATATTTTAGATTTCTCAAAGTAGCCACCCTTTGCTTTTTTGATAGCGCTGCAAACTTAAGCTGTTCTCTCAATGAGCTTCATGAGGTAGTCACCTGAAATGGTTTTTACTTCACAGGAGTGCCTGAAGTAACCCTGACAAGGTACTTCTGTCATCAAGACCAAAGGATGGCTATTTTAAAGAAACTAGAATATAAAACATGTTTTCGGTTATTTCACACTTTTTTTATAAGTACAAAATTCTACATGTGTAAATTCATAGTTTTGATGCCTTCAGTGATAATCTACAATGTAAATATTCATATAAAAAAATAAAGAAAAGACACTGAATGAGAAGGTGTGTCCAAACTTTTGGCCTGTACTGTATATATATATATATATATATATATATATATATATGTATATACATATACACTCACCGGCCACTTTATTAGGTACACCTGTCCAACTGCTCGTTAACACTTAATTTCTAATCAGCCAATCACATGGTGGCAACTTAGTGCATTTAGGCATGTAGACATGGTCAAGACAATCTCCTGCAGTTCAAACCGAGCATCAGTATGGGGAAGAAAGGTGATTTGAGTGACTTTGAACGTGGCATGGTTGTTGGTGCCAGAAGGGCTGGTCTGAGTATTTCAGAAACTGCTGATCTACTGGGATTTTCACGCACAACCATCTCTAGGGTTTACAGAGAATGGTCCAAAAAAGAAAAAATATCCAGTGAGCGGCAGTTCTGTGGGCGGAAATGCCTTGTTGATGCCAGAGGTCAGAGGAGAATGGCCGGACTGGTTCGAGCTGATAGAAAGGCAACAGTGACTCAAATAACCACCCGTTACAACCAAGGTAGGCAGAAGAGCATCTCTGAACGCACAGTACGTCGAACTTTGAGGCAGATGGGCTACAGCAGCAGAAGACCACGCCAGGTGCCACTCCTTTCAGCTAAGAACAGGAAACTGAGGCTACAATTTGCACAAGCTCATCGAAATTGGACAATAGAAGATTGGAAAAACGTTGCCTGGTCTGATGAGTCTCGATTTCTGCTGCGACATTCGGATGGTAGGGTCAGAATTTGGCGTCAACAACATGAAAGCATGGATCCATCCTGCCTTGTATCAACGGTTCAGGCTGGTGGTGGTGGTGTCATGGTGTGGGGAATATTTTCTTGGCACTCTTTGGGCCCCTTGGTACCAATTGAGCGTCGTTGCAACGCCACAGCCTACCTGAGTATTGTTGCTGACCATGTCCATCCCTTTATGACCACAATGTACCCAACTTCTGATGGCTACTTTCAGCAGGATAATGCGCCATGTCATAAAGCTGGAATGATCCCAGACTGGTTTCTTGAACATGACAATGAGTTCACTGTACTCAAATGGCCTCCACAGTCACCAGATCTCAATCCAATAGAGCATCTTTGGGATGTGGTGGAACGGGAGATTCGCATCATGGATGTGCAGCCGACAAATCTGCGGCAACTGTGTGATGCCATCATGTCAATATGAACCAAGCTCTCTGAGGAATGCTTCCAGCACCTTGTTGAATCTATGCCACGAAGAATTGAGGCAGTTCTGAAGGCAAAAGGGGGTCCAACCCGTTACTAGCATGGTGTACCTAATAAAGTGGCCGGTGAGTGTATATATATATCCTGCAGGCATATATATACTATATACCTCAAGCAGTGCAGTTAACAAAAACATGCAACTGTGCATATTTTTGTCATGTAAGTACGCTGAAAAGGATCACTCGTCATTTTTATCTTGTTGTGATGAAGAGCGACATGAGAAAGAAGTGCTGCTTGTATTTACACACAGGTTGAGGTGTCTTTGTGGTTGTATGTGAAAAGGGTAAATGGCATAAAAGCACTCAGTGATAACAGGAATAAAGGGGGTGGTGTAAGTCTGCTTCAGGCTCTGTGCAGCATTTAGATTAGATCAACGGAGCTGAAAGTTTGCAGGAACACTCAAGTCTTTTTATAGAACTTATTAATGCAAAATGATGAAAAACTGGAAATTATGCTGAGTTATACACTTTGAAACAAAGATTTAAAAAATGATCTGGGATGTAATGTCACCCTACAATCTACTACAGTATTTTTAAATAGGCCAGAGAATGCTTCAGAGTACAGCGGTGTTCCTACAGTAAACTTTAGGAGCAGGTTTCTGTACATTGACTCTCAATCTGTCTGTGCACACTGTAATGTTTTCTAGTTAAAAAAACACACACACACAAAAGCACTGCAGACAGTTTTTTTTTCTCCCCAAAATAAAACAAAACCATCCCTGACAAATCGTTAAAGAGCTACTACACATCTGACCGATGGCTGCATCCACACTGATAGTGTTTATATGGTGTTTCTTGGAACTGCTGCACACAAAAACAAACAAACAAACAAAAAAAAAAACACACAGATACTGTTTGTTTGTCTCTCACGGTGTGTCTTTGATTATCCCCCACAGCGCAGCCATTGGGCCTAGTAAACAGGAAGAGGAGGACTATGAAGACGTGCCCATAAATAAGACCTGGGTGTTATCACCAAAGGTCTATGAAAGCGATGTGACTTTGATCCTGAACAAACTGCTGCTGGGATATGACAACAAACTGCGGCCCGACATCGGAGGCAAGTAGAGTTCAACCTCAGGATATGTTCTTTGTTTAAGCTGTGTTTCCACAAAACCTCAGCTCACAGAGAGAACTGGGGTTGAAAAAGAAGTTTATTTGGTGGATTTTGTTACTGTTTGTGTGGAGTGTGCTTATATTGTCTGAGAGAAACTTTGTACAATTAATATTCAATTTGATATTACAATGGAGTTAAAAAAAAAAAAAAGGTTACAAAACACCCCTATGCAAAGCATGTTAAGATTTCAACAAAGGAGGCAAACTAGTATTTGGTCTGTTGCTCTTATTTTGGATATTTTTTACAGACATTGAAACAGTATATTTGAGAGCATTGAAGACAGCAAACCTGACAAAGCTTGGCTGTATAGAAACAAAGTTGTGTAGTCGTAAGGTCTGCTTGATTATAGAAGAAAAAAAAAAGTGTAATCATGATAACTTTTGTGAATATTAATGTCACAATGATTAAAACAGTTACCCAATATTTGACATAGGCATCACACTCATTTACTCAACTTAAAACCTCATGAAAATGCTTAATTCTTTGAAAAGCACAACAAAGTAAGAAAAACACTCAAGCTTTCCCTTTTGTTTACTAAACCATATCTATCTGTCTTTAAATGATATACATTTTTAAAAAGTCAGATGTACCGGATGAAATAACTTTAGCTTAGATTTGGTGGTGATACTGATGATAAAACCTGGCAGTCACTGGCTTGTTGGTGCCCGTGTGCATTAATGACTGCTGCAGCCTCTATCTCATTCTGTACCTCAGCATATCAGACACACACAAATAAACAGTCCTGCCTCCTCTAGGTCCTCTCCCTGTTCTTCTCTCTTTTCCTTCTCTTGCCCCTCTCCCTGCTCTCCTCTCTCCTGTTCCTTTCCCTGCTCTCCTCTCTCCCATACCTTCTCCTCTCCCTGCTCTCTTCTTCTTACTCCTCTCCCTGCTCTCCTCCTCCTTCTGCTCCTCTCCTTTCTCTCCCCTCTCCTCCTCTTGCTCCTCTCCCTGCTCTCCTCTCTTCTCCTCCTTCTGCTGCTCTCCCTGCTATCCTCTTTCCACCTGTAGCTGCCTGATAGTTTTAACTGCTGTGGCACATCATGTTGAAGATACAGCGGTCCGACATTAATCTTAGCTAAAACTGTAACTTACTCTTGCTCCCAAGTTTTTTTCTGTTTCTCCGAGATGCTAATGATGCTTAATTCTTTATCCTCTAACTTTTGAATCATGTAAATGAGAGGCTTGATGACCAATCCCTCTCCTCCCTGCTTTCTGTGTAGAAATGCTTAAGCCACGACACAGAGGAACAAAAGACAAGTCCAGAAAATGAATGATTAACACTTACCACAGCTCCCATTGGCCTTGTGTCAATCCAGCCTTGTTCTTTAGCTGTTCTCCCACCAATGTTAGCTAATTTTGCTTTTCTAATTACAGCCCATTACAGTTAAAATAAATTTGTAAAAGTACATTTGTAAAGTATCAGGGCCATTATTAATCAAGCAGAATGGCTGCAATGAGGTTGTTTTTTATTTCCAAGTAATGGCTGGATAAATCGAAAGGTTATGTACATATCTGAGAGGGCTTTGAGTGACATTTACATTATAGTGTATGACTTTAATGTCACTCTGGAGACAGTTAACTGTCAACACATATAAAGGGCTGTTCACATCAGTGATATTAAAGTGAATATTCATACCCTTTTTAGAATTGAAACTCCCAGCAGGCAAAAAGCGGCATATTAAAAAAATCTGACAAAGCACACTGAAAGAATCTTGACAACACCAACATGACTACCCACTTTAAGTTGTCAAGAAAAAATACATTTTCCAGAGAAGTCCGGCCTGAGGGTTGAGTTGACTGTCTTGACCTTTAGTCTGACTAAAGAAGGTGCTGCAGTGATAACAGGTGGACAGGATGCAGTTCTCTGTCAAGTCTGACTTTGTGATTAAAGTTGATAAGGTATTAACTCATAAACAGGTACAAACATGTTGATTCAGTCACTGTCAACACAGTGTGTCTTCTTTTGTGTTCCAGTGAGGCCCACAGTCATTGAAACAGCCGTGTACGTCAACAGCATCGGACCGGTTGACCCCATTAACATGGTGAGACTACCTCTTCTGATTGCCTGTCCTTGCCTGTTCACAAAAAAACACCAATAGTAGCATGAGTGTCTTACAGAACTACAACCCTGATTTTAGAAAAGTTTGGTTGCTGTGTCAAATGTAGGTCAAATTTGCATCATGCAACAAGGACACCATTTATTAAGTTGACCCAGAAATGCCAGAAACTTCTCTGGGTCTGTGCCCCTCAAAGATGGACTGAGGTGAAGTGGGAAACTGTTCTGTGGTCGGGCTTTTTAGAAATCATGGACACTGCACCCCTGATGGTATGGGGATCATCAAAGTCCATGTCATTGGTAGCTTCCACATATGTGAAGGCTCCATCAATGCTGAACAATATTTACAGGTTTAGGAGGAATATCTGCTGACATCCAGACAAAGACTTTTTCAGGGAAGGCCTTCATATTTCAGCAAAACTATGACAAACCACATTTTGACAACAGGGATTACAACAGCATGGCTCTGTAGGAGAAGAGTCCTGCTGATAAAATGGTCTGTCTGCAGTCCTGACTTGAAAAAAGGTACATTCAAGAGGAAGACAAAAAATACAGGTCAGGAAGTCAACAAAGATGTGAGGATTTATTGTCTGGAAGTCACAATTCCTCTTTATGGCAAGTTTCTCAGGAGAACTGAAATCAGTCAGGATCTGTCCTGTGTGAAGTAGTGGTGTGTCGGTCTTGAACGAACGGATCAAAAGAACTAGTTCTTTTTGGTGAACGAATTGAACGAGGTCACCCCCCCTAAATGATCAGTTCAGCCCGTTCAGTTCTTTTGATTGGCTGAAGAGTCAGTTCACCGTTCCTTAGGGCGGGACTATCTCTGTGCTTGCCTGTCTTATCCTATCGTCGCGCCTCGCTCTGTGTGTGGGTGGGGCTTAGAGAAACAGCAGCAGTACTGAGCTTACTGAAAGACCGGGATGACCGAGTTGACTGAAAGACCGAGTTGAACGAAAGACCCGGACCGATGAACGACTCAGTCTCTGTCTTTTCAGTCAGCTCGGTCTGACCGAGAGATTGACCAACTCTCAGACTGACTGAGTACAAGCTTTCACTCTCTGCGAGGTGCTGTCAGCCTGTCACTAGCCGGCCGACTTGTGAACGCAACGTGATGTACTGAATAAAATAAACTATAAGGCAGTCTCTTGCGGGGGTATCTGTACTCACGAGTCCAACAAACAGTGCCGTGGCCGCCGCACGAGCCGAGCCCGAGCGAGCAGGACAGTCACACACACACAAAAGCACACAGCTGCTGCTGCAGACAGAGGCAGAGAGACAACTATTAAACAATAAAATGAAATAAGAACGAATAGAATTGTGTGTGTGTGTGTATATATATATATATATATATATATATATATATATATATATATACATGAACGAACAAACTGACTAACGACCGATTGACCGAAATGAACGGGTCTTTTTACTGAACGACCCGGAATGATCCGGTTCACTGAAATGAACGGTTTTGCCCACCACTAGTGTGAAGCTAATACATACATCTGACTGTTCAAATATACAAGACTCTAACTCCACAAAGTCAGACAGTCTCCTTTGTCATGTTGTCCACAACAGCCCTCTCTCACACTCACATTCAAAGTAGTGTCAGAAACAGAGCTGAGCTTTCAGCTGATGCTGATCACACCGAAGCACCATGAACCAGAATGGGCTCTTTTTTTGTTCCTCGCCGGCAACGTGGTGTACGCGGTCAGGTCAGGTCCGCCACGCCGATAAGGTGTGCCCAAACACATTTTGGTATTTTGGTGAGCGGTGCAGCCCTGCGTAAGTATCCCCCCTCCCTTACTCAGCTCCTCCCGGTAGTAGTCAAAGAGATCAAGAGATGTCTGAAGACAGCAATGCCACACGATGGCGACAGAAAGCAGCACCTCAACAAGTGTTGCTGTAAGCGCTGCAGAGGGCATCCTGCGCACTGTCTCATATAAGCACAGATGGGTTTGGTGTGTGTAATGTTGGACCCACTAGTAAGACAAACATCCTTTCCACAAATAAAGACACTCGTATAAAGTTGCACATATTCAAACCTCACGTGACAAAGTGGGTTGTACGCACAGATCACAACATACATTCAAATAATGGCATTAAAATCGGAACCATCCGTGCATAAAGGACACATCACGCTCCGTGGCCTGGCTCTTTCTTTCATAGATGTTGGCATATAAAATAAATTTGGCTCACAAAACTGAATATTGTAATATTCGTATGTAGGCTGAAAGTAAATAACTCATCTGATCACTGAAACAAATCATCATTTCAGCCGGTGCAGCAGCAGCTGCAGCAGGATGGGGAGAGGACACGGAGACATGTCCAGGTCCGGCTGCGTGAGAAATAAGAGGAAGAGGAAGAAAGAAAAGGAGGGAGACGAATTACATATCTTGTTAACTTCATCATGTGTGTTTATTTACTAGATATTTCATTGAATTTAATGCGGTTTCAGCTGTGTTAATTCAGTCAGGTTTAGTGTCCAAACGCGTGCCAAATGCGCTCTTCAGATATATCTATACAGATCTAAATGTTTGTGCTGACTCAGATTATTAGTTGTTGATGATCATTTATTTTACTGAAATGTGCCTGACACTGTGGAAACCTGCTGGTGAGGCATTGATGACTTATGCCGATACGCCGCCGGTCTACCAAAATACCACTAGACCAGCTGCACTCCGCCTGCGCTGAAAGCTGACCAGGTTTAAATCGGCGAGCTTTCAGCGCACTTTTCTCGCCAGCGGCGAGCATGAAAGTGCCACTGCAGCTGATTTTGTCGACACCTCCCCCTGCCGCGCCACCGCGCCCAGCTTGGCAGACCTTGTGCGCCTCAGTTCATGAAAATGCCAAACACCGGACTCCGCCAGATGAAAATACCACTGCGAGAGGTCTGGGCATGAAAATAGAGCCCAATATCTGTTTGTCCTTCTCTACATATAAGTCAACTGATTTAGCTTCAAACTAAATTTGATATGGCTAGGGAAAGAAAGAATGATTTTCTTCATTACAGGATCTTGAAACAAGTCATGTCCCCCCCCCCCCCCCCGTTCCAATCAATACTCAATTGTCCGTCTAAGTACTGATACATTCATGTATCATTTGGAGTTTTAAAACTTAGTTGCACTCAGATGTTTTTTTTTTCCATCTCCGTCACAGGAATACACCATTGACATCTTCTTCGCTCAAACATGGTACGACAGCCGGCTGAAGTTCAACAGCACTATGAAGCTGCTCATGCTCAACAGTAACATGGTAGGCAAAATCTGGATCCCTGACACGTTCTTCAGGAATTCCCGCAAATCAGACGCCCACTGGATCACCACGCCCAACCGCCTGCTGCGGCTGTGGAGTAATGGCAGAGTCATGTATACACTGAGGTAGGGCAGTCATGCTCCTGGTTTTTTAACATCAGGTAGTCTTTAAACATGAAACTATCAACTGTTGTTTGTGCAGCTTTAGTGTGTACATCTGTATTCTTATCACTTAGTGTTCTTTTAGATGAGCCTAATTTGTCAAAGTGTGATCAAATTGTCATTGTTTCTCCTGCATGTGTTGGTGTAATTATAGAGAGAACGTAAAGTACTTCTATTCTGTTCATCTACACTTGGGAGGGAAAAACAAGCCTGAGTTTTGCTCTTTTTCTGTCACAATTCTGTTTCTGTCAGGTTGACTATTAATGCGGAGTGTTACCTTAAGCTGCATAACTTTCCAATGGATGAGCACTCGTGTCCCCTGGAGTTTTCGAGCTGTAGGTGGTCGAACGTTTCCCCCTCTCATTTTTTAACTGCCATCTTGAGCTCAACTTTAGTAACTCGCCCAGTGAGAGGGGCTTCTCTGTGGGCCAGCATAGTGGCTAAGCCCTTGTGTCTTCTCCTTGCCAAATGGCCCATCTGCTTGAGGCTGCCCTCTCTCGGCCTGTACCAATCTATCATCTGCTCCACCAGCAGAGAGAGGAGGTCACCCAGTCCCATTTTCTCTGACAGTCCTAATGAATTATGCACCCTCTTCCAGTCTGATTCATGCTGTCTGTGTCATCCTTCATTTGTCTTCTTGCATTTTGCTTTAGCCTCTCATGTTCTGTCATGATCTTAATCTTCCACACGCTGGTGAAAAATGCAAAGACCATTTTACAGAGTTGAGAATAAATCTCAGAGCCAGCACGGTTACACGAAATGTCATCAAATGAGCTCAACCAAAAACTGCAGAACAGCTACAGGGATCTTGGCTGACATGGCTTTTGTGTGCAGCTCACCTGCTGCTTTGAAAATGTAAGCCTAAGCCCACCAGTGCAGAGCAAAAAGGAAAAACTTAAAAGTTCCATGGCTGAGATTTATTTGCACGCCATGAAGCAACAGCATGTTATCATGGTGGCACTTTAAATATCAGGCACATTGGTGACATTTTCCTGCAAGAGTTTTAGTGGGCCACCTGACTGGTTGTAAAGCAGGTTATTTAGGAACTCACTGAAAGCTAAAAATCTGGATATGAAAACTTTGGGGGCAGAAAAACTCAGTCCATATAAGTTTGAAGTTCTTTCAAAATGTGCAGAGTAATGTGAGCTTCTTCCAAGACAATGATATAACTTTAAAGCAGGAGGATCAAATATTGTGTCATCAACAAAGAAATATGTAAAAGGAACTGTATTGCAAATTTAACTTTGAAGTGATGTTACTCATTTGATGATATTTCTTCAGGCTGGGCTGGCTCATCCATCTCCCCATCCGTGCTCCCCTTTGCCGTGCCATGGTGCAATGTTCCCTGTTGATGTTCATAATAATGAGAGACAGATGTAAGTAACATGTTTTACATTCAAGATATGGTTCTTTATTCTGCAGATGGTTATCCCAAGAATGAGATCATGTACAGGTGGCAGAGACGGGCGGTGGAGGTGGCAGACCAGCGATACTGGAGACTCTACCAGTTTGCCTTTGTAGGATTAAGAAACACATCTGATGTGGCACACACCCAATCAGGTACGGGGTAACAGGCAGGTGAGTTCATACTGTGTTTGCTTTTGTGAGAACAGTTTGGGCTTTGGATTGGAAATCCAGCGGGATTTCTCTGCAGGGGTATGATTCCTGACCAAGATGCCAAAATGTTAGTTGGAGGTTCTGACCAGTCTAAATCCTGCTCATGAGATTGCCAGATTTATAGCAGGAGATGTTTTATCATTACCATTACCAAACTGGTTTTAGTTACAACACCAAGGGGCAGCAGGAACTAACTGACGGTTTATACAAGTCTGAATCAAATCCAATCAAATGTCAGTTATCCAGTCTTCTGGTCAGTGTATTTATCTCTGACACAAAGTGAGAGAATAGTTCAAATACCAAGTCGCCATAGCTAAAGAAAGCCTGTCAATTATGATCTACAACGGGTGCCATAAACTTGCCTTTTTTTACCCATTCCTGCCAGAGTTCTGTGAATATCTGACTTTTCTCTGTGCTTGTTCACATTTAACTCTAACTCTTATTCACTCTCTTAATTTTTTTTTCAGGCGAATATGTAATAATGACGATCTTCTTTGACCTGAGTCGGAGAATGGGCTACTTCACCATCCAGACCTACATTCCCTGCAGTATGATTGTGGTCTTGTCCTGGGTGTCATTTTGGATCAATAAGGATGCCGTCCCAGCCCGCACATCTCTAGGTTTGACACGTCATTTCATACTGATTGAATCTGAGGTCACCTTTTCCTTCACATCATTGTGTAAGTGATGGATTTTTACAATGTTCACTATAACGGGTAAATATGACTGTGTAGGTGAGAAAATAGCCAACTTCTAAATCCTCAGTCTCGATGAATTAATATTTGTTTTGATGGTGCCAATAAAGGTCCTAGTCTTTGTTGTATTATCAACAAAGACCCCGAATGAATCCATCATGAGCAACAGTAGCGAAAAGCACTTCAACTGACAGAAACCTTGAACAAGACCAGACTCGTGTTGAACAGCCACCTGCTGTGACAGTGTTGGGTTTAGGAGTGGGATAATTATGAAGATATTTAGGATATAGCAAGAGATGCTAGACCCCCCCATACAGTCTGAAGCCTAGGTAAGTCCTGATGACAGCAATGGTAACAATGCAGCTATGGCAGAGTCAACACAGAAGTACAAAGCAGACTTAAGCATACAGCAGCATATCTGGAAGCTGGTCCAAGCCTGAGTCAGCCCAAACAAAGGCTGGACGATTATGGTAAAAATAATAATCAGGATTATTTTGACTGATATTGAAATCACGATTAATAAACACGATTATTCATTTATTTTTAAACTTTTATCAAATCAAAAAAACTTTAAATATAAGTTATAAGAACAACCAGAAATAAATTATTAACAAGAAAACATGTTAAAAAAAAGATATCTATTGTAAATTAAAATAATAGCAATAAAAATAATAAATAAAAATAATTACCCAATCTCTGTGCACTCCTGCAAAACTTGCATCATGCAAAAAAAACCCACTAATAACGCAGCCAAAAATTAGAAGCCTCTTTTAAGCTTTGATCAGCTGTGTGATCGCCAACAATAACTTGCTAACACTAATACTGGGCATGCACCCTCTGCGGTGCAGCACCCAAGTGCGTGCCCACGTACTGATACAAGTACTGATACACATGAGTCTGAGTTACAGCCACATCAATTTAAAAATAAAAAACTCATTTTTAAGGTGTGACAGCTTTTATTTAGCTGTGGTGGCATGCCACAATCAATTGCATATAGGGGAAACCCTGAAGTTGGTCCCGTTGCCTTGGGGAGCAGACACAACAACGTGACAAACTTTGCAAACAATTCTTTTTGCTTGACGTCCGTCGACTTGAAACCAAAATGTTTCCAGAGAACTGAAGTTGTCCTACCTTTCTTCTCAACCAAAGGCTGCCTTTCTACCATGTTTTCAGTCGCTCACTACTCATATTATTGATCCACACACATCACATGCTTGCTGCAGCTGCACGTAACAGGAGCGCATTCCCAGCACAGGTAGTTACATACACACCACACCATGTGGCGCATTAATGATTTTTCTTTGATTATAATGATTTTATGATCGTGAGAAGCCAAAATCTTAGTCATGATTAAAATTTGATTAATCGTTCAGCTCTAGCCCAAACTATAAACTTTATTGTAAAAGACCGTTTCAGGATTGCTCCTCAAAGTAGAGAGGGTGTCTGCCTCCAGGATCCTGACTGATTTCTAAGGAAAGGGGCCTGCTATCTGAAGGCCCTACTTCCCTATACTATTTATGAAGACTTTTTGAAGGATCTGCATGCATGGGAGTGAAATGTTCTCAATAAGAGATTATGGTGCTTGATGATTAAAAATTTTGTGGGTCAGAAGAGGGATTTTAAATTCTATCCTAGATTGTTTAAGAAACCAGTATAGAGAGGCTAATACGGGGAGATGTTCCAAGTTTAAGACAATGCTGGACCACCTGAATCTTATCCAGACTTATTAGGGGATTGCATATATCCAGTCGAGATGAAACAAATGCATGAACTATCATTCAGCTGATGAAGTGGTCTCTGTGAAAATCCACTCAGGTATTACCACTGTACTCACCATGACGACACTAAGCACCATCTCCAGGAAGTCCCTGCCGAAGGTGTCCTACGTCACAGCCATGGACCTCTTTGTTTCTGTCTGCTTCATCTTCACCTTCGCTGCCCTCATGGAGTACGGCACTCTGCACTACTTCACAAGTAACAGACAGACCAAAAAATCAAAAGCCAACAATAATACGCAGGTAGACAACAGTTTTCTTCTTTATTTTCTCTGATCATTCAGGTTTTGATCTGCTGAATTCAACTGTACCAATCTTAACTGTCTGTTTTCATCACAACAGAAATCATCCAGCATGGTGAACATCAGGCCCGGCACATCCCTGCTGCAGATGAACAACATCGTGCCCTATCACGAGGAGGCCGACTATGCTTACGAGTGTTTGGATGGAAAAGACTGTGCCAGCTTCTTCTGCTGTTTCGACGACTGCCGCTCAGGTGCCTGGCGAGAAAACAGGATGCATGTGCGGGTTTCAAAGATAGATTCATACTCACGAATATTCTTTCCCACTGCTTTTGGCCTTTTCAACCTCGTTTATTGGATAGGTTACCTTTATCTATAAGACCACCGCCTCAAAAACAGGACAACTGGAGTTTGAGATCAGCAAGCATTTCTCAGATGTTAAGCTGCTCTTACAGCAGAGAAATTTGTGTTTAGCAAATATGTTCACCAAAAAAGGAAACCAAGATCTACTGACAAATTATTAAACTGCAGTGCCTTGTTTTTTTTCCCAGCGCTCCCTGTGGGGCTTAGCATCTGAGTGTTTGTAAGTCAGTCTGTCCAACATGACGTTTGTTGTTCCGAGTTGATAATTCCTAAAACTTAGCAGTGACCCTTGTATCTTTGTATAGCATCAAACTAAATATTCCTGAAGGAATATTATGAAAGGTATGTCATGAGTCGTCATGGCTGCCAGGGGACTAATTAAGTTTTTTAAAACTTGTACTCTAAAAATATCATGACCTTAATGGCTAGTCAAATATTACAATTAGCAGGATAACTTCATAAATTAGCAGAAATGTGTAATGAAACTTTTCTATTTTGGACACAGACTCTTCTAGGGGAATTTCCCTGTAGATTTTAAATAAATTAATTAATGATCTAGCACCACCCTCAGGACAAATACTTTGGGCTCCACCAATGATAAGGTTCGAGCATTGTTGGTTTCCTCCAATTTTTTTTACACACAATTCAAAGTGGGTGGGAATGAATGACTTTTTCAGATGGGTTGGGCTGATTCATGGGTTACCTGTGCTCCCTCATGGTGACATGGTGATTTGAATATGCTTTTTTCCCCCTCAAGGAAAAAAAAACAACTAATTTTTTGAAACTCTTATTACCTTCAGTGTCCTCATGTTTGAAAAATTACTGCAGAGAAAGTTTGTTTCTGGATCCCCAATGACATACAATGATAGAGGGACCCTTCTGCAGTTATCTGGTTGTGTTTAAGTGACAATTATGGGGACCAATTTGGTATAGAAAGAAGAGTCAGAGCTGTTTAGAGTTGTCCCCCATTTTACAATACAGGAAATGAATTCCATGGCCTCTAATGATGCACTTAAAAATGTGGCAACTTCAGGGTGCTCTTCCACTGGGTTAAGCATGGCACAGTGCCACTAAAAGAGGAGAAAACATGAGCTCCAAGCTTCCTCAGTCAACGGAGAAGTCATGGCAAGCTAATAATAACATGAGGGCACATTAGGGTGGCCTCCCAGGGGGGGAAACAGGATGCTTGACCGTTAAGATTGCTCCTCTACTGAAGAAAACTTGATTTACGTACGGACTCCCAGGGTGTCATGCTACATTACAAAATAAGCTTCACAGCATTAAAGGTTGTGGTAAAGTGGGAAATGTAGCTGTAAATTGTGTAACAGTGAATCGTATGCTTGTTGTTTTAAGATGATGGACAAAGTTGCAGCATTTAGAGCCATTTGACCATTGATGCACAGTGACTTTTTTAGTAATGCAGCTGGTGTTGCTCAGATACCCAGAGTCCACCCTCCTCCAGCTCCTCCCATGAGATCCATGAGATACTCACATCTGGAACTGAGAACTCCAGCTGTGTCTCAGTACATCCACAGGGAGACAATTCAAAGGCAATGTGAAAGGGCAGATGCTCCTCCCCAAGTTCTCTGCAGCTCCCCTCTGAATCTCTGAGGACTATCTCCAACACCTGCAAAGAAACAGATCCACAGTCCAGCTCCTTACCCTGAAGTTAAGCTCATAGGTGAAGTTGAATAAAGAAGACCTTAAGGCGCAGGAGTTGCACTGCACAGTTTCCTTGCCTGTATCAGACACAGGAGATTACAACAGATAAACTCAATCTTCTTTTACCTCATGCCCTTCAAATGTTTTTTATCATCCTAATGTTAACATAAGGGTCCACAATGTTTCAGTCATTTAAACTGGTGGCCTCTGTGGTACAACTAGTGACTTGAAGTATAAACTCAACACAAGCTTGATTATTTCTGCTATTTAGACTTCTACTCTGTTGTACTACAATTTTGTTATTTTGCTTTTAGCTTAATGTAAAATGTTGGGTTTTGGTCATCTGGGCTAAATATTGGTCCCACTCTACCATTATGATTAACCAAACACATGTTAAGTCAGGATAGTTTGAAAATAAACCTCACAAAAAACACGAATTTGATTTATTTTGTGATAAATGAACAGATCTGATCATAGATTCAGATGTTTTATGTATGAAGTGAATCCTTGTTGCAGGAGCTCTGATTCTAGAAATGTTTGCTTTAGTCAAACTCCAGTCCATATAGAGGAGATATTGCCATTGAACTTTAAAAATAAGCCCAAAAGTGAGTTTACTCTCTGCCACCGTGCTGTTGATATTGTTGAGAAAGCAGGAAAGAGGACATGCATTTTACTTTGTCGCCTAAACCTGCAATGATAAGATATTGTTCCTTCTCATGAAGCTATATTCCCTGATTTTCCTCCAGAGGCCTAAACTCTTGATTGAATTTTGAAGTGATGTTTTTGGACACCCGAAGGGTCACTGTAAAAACAGGGAATATATCTTTGTAAAATTAAACATTGCTCTATGGGCTCTATTTTTCTAGATAATAACTCACAGCAGTGTGATCAGTGAGACCAGGCTGGGCTAGCCTTTGCTCAGAAGCTACCGCATGGATTAGATTTGTAACTTCTTGTGAATTATTAAGAACAATAAGGGTTGTTTTTGTGGCAGCCATTTTTTATATTTGTTGTATTTTAAGTTCAAAAGGTAACAGTGTTTTCACTGATGCTCTGTTCAGGCAGATGTTCACCCAGTTTAAAGCTTTTCTGATTTTAGATTTCCAACTTTGGACTGAAGGAGGAACGTGTTCTGTACAACCCCAACCCCCAAAAAGTCAGGTGCTGCTTAAGATGCTGACAAAAATTGATTTTTGGGGTGTGCAATTAAGATAAACTCTGCATTTAACTTTTAAAAAGTGCAAAACATCCTATCCTATCAAATGTTAACACTAAAAAAAATTTAATATTCATTTTAAAGTTGATGCCAAACAGGTAAAAGGTCTGTTTGTTGATGCATCCACAGATGAGATGAGTTGTTAATTGACATTCTTTTTGGAAACCATAGATATCACATCCTTGAAAAAGTAGAGGGCCTACCAGGGAAATTTGTGAACCAGCATCCTAACTTTTTTGGATTTGGCGTTGTACCATACAGCTCATAAATCCTTGAATTCACTTTGACAGTTTAATTGCATGTTGAAGACCATGTGGAGCATTAATGTTGCAACCCCAAGAACAGTTTCAAACACAGGGAATGCACACTTTAATATTTACACCAATGTCTTTCCAGCACAGTATTCGCAGTTCATCATCCTGACAGCAGCTTTCAACAGAATTAATGATGATAGCCTTAAAAAATGTCTTTCATCACTTCACTTTTCAGCCATGAGCTATCACATAAATACAGTCCAGTGAAGATACTCACAAATGACACAGACTCATTAAGTCCTCATGTAGTTCAAAATCCTCCCAGTAACCTATGATTTACAGTGGGTTGTACATGTACATTTACAATTGGTTGGAACCATCGGGTTTTTTTAAGGTTGCTGATGTACTGAGAATTCCTTTTGGACATTAAGAGAGTTGGACTAATTAACTGATGATTTAATATGTAAATCTGAACATTATGAGTGTAAATAGTCAGATTAAACCCACAGAGTATGATGTTTTCATTATGAGCCTTTCTGAACATAGCAGCCATTTGTTTGAATTAACTGTTTTTCATGTACAAAAGTATGTAGAAAACCACCTTTTATCTATCCTTAAAGCGATCAAGTATCTGGGCGGCCTATTTTATACTACTCATGACCAACATGACTTAACTGTCACATATACACACGGAAACCAACTAAAGAAAAGTGCCACACCAACATCACTCGTTTATTATCTGCAGAAAAACTGTTCCTGAACTATCCACAAACACCAAAGAACAAAATCATTTAGTACCCTGTCCTGTAAATGTCATGTTGCACGCAAGTTCAGATTGCATCCAGCTCCAGATGCGTATACATGTAAAAAAATGGAACAGAAAGGATTCAAATTAAGGCCATGCTCCTGACATGTCAGAGGTAACATAAGTATCCAGATAAAGAGTTTTCAACTGTGCAAACATCAAACATGAATGTACTGAGAGCCACGTGAATCTATGCAAACATGAACATTGTTGCAGTCTTTCTGAGGGTATGTGATGAGTCCTGTTTGACTTTTGTCTGATTTTCACTTATTAATGACTTTAAAGAAGCAACAAGGAAATATTAAGAAAATGTCTAAATTCTGCTAAAACAGAAGCAGACTTCAGTAACATAATATTTCTGTATAAATTAAATCCAATCGTATGGCTTCACCAGGACTGAACACTCAGATCTCTCAGTTTCTTTACTCTCTGGTTAAGAAATGCTGTTCAGTTTGTTTTATTTAATCTTTTTTTATTTATTTATTACAAAACTAAGGTGTTGAAGTTCATCTGACTGGATTTGTAACATCAAAGATGCACAAAGTGTGGAGTTAAACAGCCAAACATCACTATGGGTGGCGACTAATGTGAGTGTGCACATTATTTCCTCTGTCACAAAACTAAAGACACAGACACATGAAATAAATCCAAGATTTGACATGGGGACACAGTGTTAAACTATAACAAACAGGAAACTGAATCAGACACTAACAATGTTAGTGTCAGACTGAAAGTCAGGTTCAAACTGAAAGTTTGAACCTGACTGTTTCTAACAGCACAGTCTTGCTCCCTATTTTAGCTTTTTTTAAATATGGCACCTGGGTCAGCGGTCGAAATAAGACATCAAAGGGTTTTAAGATTCAAATGGATGCTTTGGTGTTGCTTTTACTTTTGTTGTTACATTAAAATCAAGTAATATAGTATACAATTGAAATGTCCTGTTTATAAGAAATGACTGTGTTATTTCCCCCCTCAGTTTTCTATGAATATTGCATAAATACGTTTAGCATAAGTTTTGTCAGTTACATTTTCAGAATTTTTATACCTGTATTATACAGGATTGGATTGAGGACAGAGCAGGACAGAGAGACAGGGTAAAAGACAGCAGGCCGGAATCAAATCCAGGCCAACAGCAAGGTATATGGGGCACACACTTAGACTGCTCTCTCAATGGCGCCCTAATTGAAACCATGGGAGACAGAAAGCTTTAAAGATTTATTGAGATTTTTTTAGTTTGTTCCATTTGTTATAGTAGAGGAGGCAGGCTTGAGTACCTGTACTGCAACTGGTCAGCAGGGGGAGCTCTAAAAGTTCTGGCATCACTGTGATCTCCACCGTCTTATTGAGCTTATGGTTTGTATTTATTAGCATAACTGCATGGCGTGAGGCCACTGACAAAGCTGCCATATTTTACCTGACTGGAGAGAGAACATAGTGGGGTTTTATCTGATGAATGACATATGATACAACTGAAATGTATGGTTTTAATATTAACTTTATTCACCTTACACACTTATCTGGATGACCTTTTGTCAGCATTTTATTTCAGACTTTAAAGTTGGTCAAATTGAGTTATTTAAACTCTGTCCATTAATTGCATGACCACTGAAAAACTCAAAAGTCAACAAACACTCAACATGTCACCTTTGAGTCATTACACCAGAACCCACCTAAGCAGCAAAAAAAGCCTTCATTATGTTCCTAATCCTCTGTCCTCCTAACCATTTTTTCATAGCAAAGACTAATTCAGATCCAGAAGCATGAAAGTGTGATCGATATTCTCATGATGTAGCATTTAAAGCAGGCTTGATAAATCCTGCTGATACTGTGCCCAAAGGAAAATTCTGTAGATACATCAGCTGCAACCCTTATCCTGATCAACGTCACAAAAGTGTTTCTTCATTTTAGCATGTTACAATTTGATACAGTGCTGGTCTAATAAAGGTACTTATTTAAAAATGTATTTGTTCGTATTTGGAGACTACAAATTACAGTATAATCTGGATTTGCCTAATGTTTATGATGGCAGAAGCCATTACAGCATAACTAATGTAAGCTCTTTTTGTCATCCAGAGCTTCTTTATCCAAATATCATAGCTATATAGCCAACTATATTTCATAAGGAGTATAATTTCAAGACTTTTGCACGTTTTGACAATGCTGTGTCTTAGGGCTAGCACTGATAGCTTCCTCCTACACATGGGAGGACTGTCCATTACACTCTCCATGTAACATGTATAGGGCCCTTAGTTAGCCCAGCTTCAACACCCCTCTGTCTTGGCTTCGTTAAACGATTGTTTTCATGATCTATGTTTTAAAAGGAGCAAGTTTGTATGGCTTTTCAAGCTTTGTAAGATGTAACTTAATTATTAATTTCATATGTATTCACATGTTGCACTGTTTCCATTTTTTGTTGCATTAGCTCCCTTGAATGGAGCTCAAAACATCAAAATCGTATGCTGTATTTTTCAGCCAAACAACCTCAGAAAACATGTTTAATGATCTTGTGAAAATGAGAGCAAGATTGTTTGCTGTACTAGTTTTAGTGATAGGCATAATGCTGTGTATTGCATTCAATTAAGCCATATAAAGACATTTATCATCTGCGTACAAAGTCATTCTCTATAAGTGTTGCTCATACTGTATTGTGACTACTGATTCAACACACTGTGAGAAAATAAAGCAGTGCCTGGAAAAATTCAAGTGGTGTCAATGATTTTCTGTTATAGCAAGAGGTTATCTTTACAGTCAGAACTGAGAAAAGCAAACAAAGATTTGTACTAAGCTTTGTAAGTACATCAATTCATATTGTTTAAATGAGCAGTTTTACTGAGTATGTCCTTGAAATACATATGAAACAGGGGCTTTTATTACAACTTTGGTTTTAATTATCCAAAGTAATTCAACAGGCAATCTAGATTGACATATTAACATATTAACCTTAAACTGGCTTTAACCATTGAAGCCAACTGGAGGCATTACATAAAAAGTAAACTGACCTCCCCTTGAAAAGTTATTTTCTTCTCATCCGAGGTACAACCCAGAAAAAAAAAACTTAAACTTTGGCTTCTTATGGATCTTCATAATATTATTCTCCAGACCTATGAATTTTCAAAGAGGTTTTACTGCTGGAGCAAGCCAGAGTGACGCTTGTGTATGACCATGACCAGAGACCTATTAAAATCAGAAGGATGGGCTCTACTCCAGGGTATGTCATGGACCAACAAAAATCCCAAAAATCAAAGCCTTGAAGTCATTTATTGCTATCTGCTAGTTATACTAGACTTCCTGTAAAGTTAGCATCCTCTACTGGAGGTTAACATGGTCATCATATGACTATAGTTGCACTTGGGTTCTGACTTTGGTAATAGCCAAATTTCCCCAACCAAAACCCAATGTTTTGGTGCCCAGTGTGAGGCATTCAAATATCAGCTATATCTCTGGACTTGTGCTCTCTTTATTTCCTTTTCTTTTTTTTTTTTTTTTGTATAATTTTGTCTCTCCAACTTTGTTTTCATAATTGATAGGCACCATATTAACCAGAAATTAACCATTATCTACTGTCTCCATTTTTAAAGTTCCATCAGCTGGCTAGTTAAGAACAGTTTGAGAGGCTTGAAGCACCCCAAAGGAGTGCCAGAGACACACAGAGTTTATTCTGAAATTGCTTTATTCAGTGTTTCCTCCAGTTTGGATTCCTGAAATTGATGAGTTGGAGAACACTTTGGATCATTAGGCTGGTGGCACACTGTGAGAGTGATAAACAGTGAGTCTTTAAAACACCAGGAAAAAACGTATCAACTGCTCAACTTTTAGCCCTTTCAGAGATACTTATTGGCCAACACGTTTTTGAGACTCATGTTTTTATGTGATATTCGCAGTTCTGTTTGTTTAATAGAAAAGGAGACAACTGTGTTGGATTTGACTTATGCAAAGTCCTTGTGAGGGTTGACTTTATGCAAAATGTACTCTGAATTTTACGTTAGAATTTCATCTGTGTAAAACTCTTGTATTTCAGCCTGGAGCTGTCAGACACAATGTGCTGTTGTTTTTAAAAATCTGCTGTTGTACACAGTATATTCAGAATGAAGTTTGTATCACTCACACTTAGAAGAAGCAGGGAGTCTTTTTCGCTGAGTTAATATTTCAGCGATTTGCATCACACCATGAACTCATCCTGTCAGCAAATGTTAACACCTAGAGCTGTGTAGTGTTTTGGAAACAGCATGAGAGACTAGAAACAAAACTGACCTTCAGCGTTCTTTATCTTTGTCTAGAAAAACCTCTAGCAACCAAAAAACTGCTGTGTGCTCTTAAAATCACTGTCACTGTCAATTGTCTGAAATTAAAACTGAAACCTCTTTCTTTGTAAATTTCTGTGTAAATGTTTAATGGTAGGTACACATGACTTTGGTTTTGGATTTTGACTCCTCGATTCCTTTACAAACATGAGATTAAAATTGTGGTCTGATCTAAATCAGGCATGTACAACTTATCTTGAAAAAGCAAACTTCTCATGCTCCTCATCATATGAATTAGCAGCTCCTAGCATCCTCTGTCATCTTGCTTTTCCTCTTGGTTATCTAACGTGCAGCATACGCTCATAGTGCCTGGGGTTTTTAGATGACGCAGGATTGTACCTTCTATGTCTGGCATGTAAAGGTGCAGATTTTAACCAGATTTATCCCCTTTACCCCCCCCCCCCCCCCAAAAAAAAAAAAAAAAAAAAAAAAAAAAAAACAGGTCTGAAAGAATTGACACATTAGTATGCACAAGTATTAGGCAAGTATATTCCGGAAAATGAGAGAAATAATGCAGCCGACCAGAATGACAGAATAAAACAAACATATTGACAGAGCTTGCCGCAGGATGGGATTGTATCTGTGTGTGTTTTGTTTCTACCTGTTTATGAATTCATGAGCAGACTGTGGGGCTTGAATGTGATTGTGTGCTGCATTTGTGATTGGTTTTCTTTTGTTTTGTGTGTGCCTTAACTGCAAATTAGCTAAAAAAAAAAAAAACATGATCAACATGATGAAATCAGTGGATACTGAAAACACAGGCCTGGATTTCATTTCTGCATTTAAGTTCATAACCACTGGTTACACATTTTTACTGTTAATAAATGTGGAATAATGTAGTAAGCAGGTGGTTGTATGGGTACAGTCTCTGACATGAAGTAGAGGGGTCCCATTTCCCTTTAAACCTGACAACAAGCGGTGAAAATTTGGTAATAGGGAGATGTGAAATATCCAATAAAAGCACTTCTTTAAATGGGTCAGCTGCACATCTCTGGTGGGGACAATAAAAACTGTAAACCCCTGATTAGTTTCTGAATATTACCCTTTCAGCCTGTTAATATTTTCAGAGCTCTGCACAAACACTGTATGCCAAACTATTTAGAATTTCATCCTCCTTCAGTTGTCCCTGATTCTTTTTTAATTGAAATGTAATGATGAAACATGGGGTTCAAGGGAAATTAAACATTTTTTGCATGCAGGCAATCTCAGCTGCTGGGTGCAATATTACAGAAGGCTGTATGGAGGCTGCGACTTATCCAAAGACACTCTGAGGTTTCTTTTGTTGTTGAGGTCCCACGTGTGCCAAGTCGTGCCTCTTTCTCTCTTCACTGCAAGGTACTAATTACTCTGAATGCTGAGCAGGAGAGTGCAGCAGCGCCTGAATGAGGGGATGAAAATAAAGCCAACTGTCATCTCCTGGTGGGACATGATTACCGGGTATGGAGACGTGTGAACTTGAAAAGCTTCCACCTCCTGGTTAATGAGAGCGCGGTGTGAAGCATGTGGATTAGAAACAGGAAACAATAAACCCTTATGTGAGCGGAGAATGGTTGTAGGGGTTTGGACAGTCAAATGACTGTTGTTTTTCAGGCTGATCAATCTCTGTGTTTCAATATTTCATCACAGTTAAAAGCATTTTCTGTAACATGTTTACAGTTCCATTATTCTGACACTTTTAAGTCCTTAATAATGATGTAAAGCAGTTCTTACCAGTGTCTTGATTTGGGAATCAAATGTACAACAACATGCACCTCATGATGTTCAGTTAAATGCTGCACCAGTATGAAACCACAACTTCAAGAGAGAAGACAACCTCAAAGTGCTCATACTGTCGAACTAAGAAATTTTCACTTTTTTAAAGGATAATGCTGTTGTGAATTCAAAATGTAATAATGTTATTTAAATGTGCATAATTGTGTTTTTTCAGTTTAGTCCCATGCTCAGGTCTGTGAGGATTTTCTCTCTCTGCTGTCTTTTTCGATGCAGTTGCATCTTGAATTATCTGCACCTGTATGCTTAATTTAGGGTGGAAGCCTGTAAAGGCCTGGTACCTGAGGCAGTATAAACAAATAAAAGATTATCCTATATTTGAGGATTTACTGTACATGGTATTTGAATTCTATCTGACAAACTGATAAATGCCATTCAAAAGCACAGCAGTGTTGTTTCCACCAAGACTGCAGCAAGAAGCAGGGAGACACTGTGGAAACTCAAGTACTGTCTGCAAAAAGAGTCAACCCGCATGTGATTTATAAAAACAGTCAATTTTAAACCCTAATCACATCCTCAGTGATGTGTCATTTCTGGCAGCCCTGATGTAAAGGTTTGACAGAGAGTATTCACACTCACACTCATGATCATGAATCCATATGGAATGGATGAATGATTTCACTGCCTTAATTATTTTACATAAAGTTAGTATGGTAGGTTCATTTATAAAGTGTTATTCACAGGCAAAAGTCACAAGTCAAACTAAAATAAAATAAATTAATTGATTTGTGAGTGTTGGATTTTATTTTATCACTTAACTCCCTTTTTCTGTCAGTACAAGAGTCACATTTTTACTGGCTTTCCTCACATTTTTGAAAAGGGAGTTTTTTTTTTCTCCTGCTTTTGATGAACAGATTCGACATGATTCAGTTTTTGCTGTTTCTTCTGTACATTTTTGTTGATGTGACCAAAAATTCAGCTTTACTGTGCTGTGTTTTTGTGTGTGCATGCAGCTCCTGTACCCTGTCCAAATTCCAGCTGTGTCAAGGCCAAGGAAGTGTACTGATCTATTAATTCCCCTCTTAGGGGTCTCAAGCTTTTTCAGTGTGTTGAACCATTCCTCTGAGAAAATCCAGTCATCCAACAATCAGACTAAGATTTCCAGGAGAATCCTCAAGAGTCAGTCTCTGTGGACAACAGCTAACCTCATTTCTTCATAATATGGTGGTATTTTAAAAGAGACAGAGCTGTTGCTGTGGGGCAAAGTGTGAATAACTGATAGGATAACCCCAGTGGATTTGTAAATTGACTCTAAAGAGAAGCTGCAATGTTTAAAAAAAAAGAAAAAAAAAAAAAACATACACAAAGATATTCTTCCATCACTTGAAGACACACTTCACAGAAGTAGCAGAAAGCTAAGCTGCACTTCCTGTCCTGATCCCAGCTAAAGCTGGTGATTTTACCTGCTTTTACATCCACAACACTTCCATTCCTCCTGTGTTAAGTTTCCTCTGTCCCAGCCCACCTCCACCTGCTCCTTCCTGAAGTCTGACTGCTGCATTAGACTGGTGGAAGAGGAGGGTGAGCTCTGTGACCCGTAGCTAAAGGTACCCCACATGGCTTCTAGCTTTGTTAAACACACCTAGCTTTTGAGGTTCTGCAGGAATATGGATTTCTTTTTGCTCCATAAATCTGCTATTGTCATGTCCATGAATTGAGGTGAGATCAGATTAATTTAACGTACAAACAGTTTGTGCAGGAGGAAAACTACAGCAGACTGCAAAGCTGAGCAAACTTAATAAATCTCAAAAGAACCCGCCTAGTCTCAGGTGAACAAGGCTGTTTAGAGGGTTTGTTCTGGATTCATTGATCTGGGTCTAAAAATCCATGATGTTACTCAGGGTTGAATCCAGCTTACAGATTTCCTGATTTACTAATGCTTAGGTCAGATAACAAGCGTAGCCTGATCCAGTCGATGTCGTCTGCTGGGACCAGTTTGATGGTGTTTAATGAATTGATTGCTTTGACTCATACGTTCAGTCTATTCTATTTATTTACTGTAGATGTGGTGCTCACTGTGAAACCGTATGACATCCTGATGGGCTCTGAAGTTCTTCAGAGGTGTCATTAAAAAACAGTTTGTTTTGAAGCAGCCTTCAGCTTGCTTGTCTCACAGGTCAGGTTTCTCATTTTCCTCTTGATAAATATCCCACAGTCTCCCCACAGGTTCAGGTCAGGTGAATCAGCTGGTCAATCATGAACAGTAGTATTATGGTCAGCATCAACTTTTACAGCTTTGCAGATGACACACAGATTTATACAACCATGTGTCCTGATCATAGACTGTATGTACTATGGACAACTTGGTTCCGCCTCCCGCCTGTGTACGGATTTGAAGCCAAAAAGCTCTCGATATTTCCGGGATTTTTCTTCATTTCCTGAAACCAGCGCTGCGCAGTAGCGTTGTGCGCATTCGGCCGGAGAGTCGCCAAGAGTCGCTGTGATAATACTCGGCTCAAACAGCGTATCATCTGGGTGAGCTGCACAATCCCTGAACGCCAATAGGCTGTATCAGGTGTAAATCAAAGAAAACATGATCCCCCTAATACCTTTTAAAAACGGTGCTTCACAGAAAAAAAAGGACTTGAGCACAAACCAGTCTTACTGTACCTACATGTCAACATCACAAGCAGGGAGAAGAAAAAATTATATTCTGTGTAATAAATTTCTAAAGCCCATAAGCTTTGCTGGCGGAGGTGGGATTTATGACCTATTCTACAGCCCATCAACAGAGGGTGCTGTTCTCGGAGTGGCTTCACCCAGCAAGGGGGCAGACTGTCCATTCTATATACAGTCTATGGTCCTAATTGATTCCCTTTTTGACCATATTTTATGAACGGTTTAAATAGTGTCCTTTAACCCATGTCAGCAGCTCAAGAATCGAGGAGTGATCAAAATCTCCGTTATGAGCTCCGTATAGGTAAAATTAATCATAATAATGGTCTAGTCTCCCTGAAAAGAGCATGTTGACAAAGAGTACACATTTGTATATCCAAACAAACAGCAGCTATCAGTGATAGACTGACGGAGTATTAGCGTCTCTTCAGTCTCCATTCTTACTGTGCATGAGGAGGCTTCACTCTGTTTCTTTTCTTCTTGGTTTGTCAGCCCCTCGCGGGATGATTTCTGCAGATCTGGGGTCTGATGAACACCTCTCAGCATTTACACAGGTCACTTCCAGCTTAAGGCATGCTGGATCAGTTAATCCAGCCTGATTTATTTTTAGGACTCCCTTGAATTGATTTGTTAGAGTGAATAACAGGGAGCTCTCTCGCTGTCAGTCACTTTGAAGTCAGACACGACTTATCTGCAGGAGGTCAGAGGTCACTGTGGCTCTGTCGGCCTCTGGAGAGTTTCTCTTCACACCTGGCTGATTGAGATGAAGTCAGTGTGTGTGTGTGTGTGTGTGTGTGTGTGTGTGTGTGTGTGTGTGTGTGTGTGTGTGTGTGTGTGTGTGTGTGTGTG